TATAGGGATTGAATGTCTGATTCAGTTGGGCAATCTTTTATATATTGTAAGCAAAAACTGTAGACAGTGAGATTTAATAAATGTAAATTCACGCTTACCCCTAAAAAAGACTGTTTTGTATGCCACATTGCAGGATATTCCACAATGCTTTCAAACTTCTCAAACTTGGTGTCGCATCCCAGTCTTGTTTTTTTTGCACCTGTTACTCTTTCTCTCCCCAAAAGGTCACCACATAATGGTACTTTGACATCTTTCAATACACTTTCTTTTAACGTAATGTCTGAAGTTGTACTGGATTGCTGATCATTGGCATTGTGTARATAGTACAAAACATCTTGCATGTGATCCAAATACTGGCAAACATCAGCATGTTTAGACTGATTATAAGGGAGGATGGGAAGGCCAATTACAGTTGATTTTTTAGCCATTTCTTTGGAGTACCTGCATCAAATTTAAGTGTTTTATAGCTATTATATTGTTTTACTTCTTGATTTCTTGATTAATACAGTGCATTCAGTATTTCTGTTAGTCTAAGAGTGATCACACTTAAACTGTGCAACTGAACAAACTAAATGGTGCTATTTAGTTGTTTTTAGTAAATGCAGCACGCAAGTTAAATATATGAGCTGATACAAATGAAGCATTCAATACCATCTTGCTTCAGGTCCACTTTTAGTACAAATTAGTACTAACTAGATTTTGTACAGTTGCATGGTTTAAGTGTGATCACAAAGTGTTTGTCTTGTCTTGTTTAATTATTGCAATTTTTGTGCAATTTCTTACAGTATTTTTCATATACAAGAAGAAATCAAGAATCGATGAGACCATAGTATATTTACCTGTGAGGTATATGTGAGCATATGTGTTTACGGAAAGGTTCCAAGCATGGAAAGAATTCAATTAGTACCCTTGATACAAGAACTGTATAATCAGACTTCAGTTTCTTAAGTTCTTGCTCTGACAGAAGGTACTCTTTGTTTTCAAATTGGTCAATATCATCAACAATTGGTTTCTTGTCATCAAGGGCATCTGAGGAAACTCTGTCAAATGTACAGTATTGGGCCATCCAATGTATATCAGAGTTTTGATGATTTTGAAGAATAATGTTTGCCAGAATTTTAAAATCAATATTGTCAAAAACAACYCGCATAGTGTTCCCCTTCTTTTGTACCAGCTCTTTCATACTTGATTCTCCTACATCACCAATATCATCCATAAGGTTGCGCAAATTTGCCCTGGATTGTGTTATTCCTAGTTTAGCCAATCGCTGGAATGTCTGCAGACGTAAGAATATAATTTGAGATATCAATTTCATGTTTCAATATTAATTTTTTATTCTTATGATTTTTACTTCAAGACAAAAACAACAATTATAATTCTAAAGTTCTATTCATANACCGTCTTGCTTCAGGTCTGCTTTTAGTACAAATTAGTACTAACTAGATTTTGTACAGTTGCATGGTTTAAGTGTGATCACAAAGTGTTTGTCTTGTCTTGTTTAATTATTGCAATTTTTGTGCAATTTCTTACAGCATTTTTCATATACAAGAAGAAATCAAGAATAGATGAGACCATAGTATATCTAGACTACCTGTGAGGTATATGTGAGCATATGTGTTTACGGAAAGGTTCCAAGCATGGAAAGAATTCAATTAGTACCCTTGATACAAGAACTGTATAATCAGACTTCAGTTTCTTAAGTTCTTGCTCTGACAGAAGGTATTCTTTGTTTTCAAATTGGTCAATATCATCAACAATTGGTTTCTTGTCATCAAGGGCATCTGAGGAAACTCTGTCAAATGTACAGTATTGGGCCATCCAATGTATATCAGAGTTTTGATGATTTTGAAGAATAATGTTTGCCAGAATTTTAAAATCAATATTGTCAAAAACAATGCGCATAGTGTTCCCCTTCTTTTGTACCAGCTCTTTCATACTTGATTCTCCTACATCACCAATATCATCCATAAGGTTGCGCAAATTTGCCCTKGATTGTGTTATTCCTAGTTTAGCCAATCKCTGGAATGTCTGTAGACGTAAGAAATATAATTTGAGATATCAATTTCATGTTTCAATATTAATTTTTTATTCTATTATGATTTTTACTTCAAGACAAAAACAACAATTATAATTCTAAAGTTCTATTCATAAGCATCATATTGCAGTACATAACTAAGATAACATCTAGAATCTCAATTTAACATATCAATAATAATAGCTCAACATAAAATACAATTAGACATTTTGAAATATGTAATTTGCAATAATTTGTTTGTTTTTGTAAATATACACTCTAATCTATACATGTCACTTATCTAAATTCATTAGACCTGCTTGTATAGAATTAATATAGAATTGAGTATAATGTTTAGTCTCATCAGCTTCAAGATCCAACACTGTTATTGTCAGTATTACTGATGTTGCTGTTTAATTCTACCTTTTGTGTTGCATGTCCAGCTGCAAGTGTCACTCCATTCATCTTTTGGACCATAGACATTTCTCTGTTTCTGGTGTTCATGAGTACTGCATAAGCAGTACATAAGGGTGGTACTTGTTTGCCATCAAGTTTTACATTTGGTACAGCAACAGTAGTCAAAACATCCAAAAGGTCAGGGGCTCTCTCTTTAATTTCAGTTAAAATGCTGGACCAGCTAAACAATTTTGATAGTTCTGAATGTTTAGCTCTTGGTGTGCGTAGAACGGATGGGCTTTTCTTTGCGCACAGASTATTACAATCATTATTAATTTTGTTCAATATTATTTCCTTTACATGTCTTCTAATCACTGGTATGCTCATAATGACCTCAGCAAGATGGACTGGAGTTGATTTCATGATCTCCATACAGATGCTTTCCTTTTGTTCATTAGTTAATGTTTCTTCTTCAGTCTCAGTTGCATCCTAGTAAAACAACATTATATTTCTATAAATCAATGTGTACAACTAGATTGCCAAACCACTGAATTGTATAGTTTTGTGTGTTGTACAGTCATTCAGCTCAAACTCAATTTCCCAGGGAGGTATTATTTCTCTACCTACCTAGAGGGGGCATACATGATTTTTGTTTTGTTTTGTTAAAAATTCAGTTAAACATTTGGTGAAAGTAGTAATATGGTTGAACATTATTAAGTAGCAAAAAATGGACAGTATTAAGTT